CATGGGGTCTGGCTTTTAAAATCGTAACTAAGAAATTAGTGACGAGGCAAAAGACCCCCGGCCTGGACAATCCCGATTGGGTCAGAAAGATAATAAGTTCTTTGTTTCCTCCTGCGGAGCCATACCTTAGAAGGGACTGGAGTTTTTGCAAAGTCGAAGAGGAAGAACTCTTCACACTTAGTGAACTGCAAAAAGCAGGCAAAAGATTGAAAACAGGCAAGGCGCCTGGAATCGATGGGATAAGTAACGAGATCCTAAAGTTGGTAATCGACACTTTACCCCAGATTCTGCTTCGATGCTTCAATCTTTGCCTTGAGAGAGGAGAGTTCTTCCGCGACTGGAAGCGACAGAGGTTAGTCCTCCTAAGGAAAGGTGAAAAACCTCTAGATAAGGTTTCATCGTACAGGCCTATATGCCTGCTAGATACGATGGGTAAACTTCTAGAGGATATGGTTCTGCAGAGAATGCAAGGCCACTTGACCGAAGAGAATCGTCTGTCCGATCACCAATTTGGTTTCCGTAAAGGCAAGTCCACAGTTGATGCCATCCAGGCAGTTGTGGACATAGCCAAAGCAGGAAAAAACAAATTGGGACCTGGGAAAAAGAAGAGCTTCTGCGCGTTGGTAGCAATTGACATACGTAACGCGTTTAATTCCGCAAGATGGAAAGATCTCATCGAGTCGATGGAAAAGAAAAACATGCCGCCCTACTTGTTGCGGATAATGGATAATTATCTTAGCGACAGGTGGGTTATATATGAGGGAGACACCTGCACTCTCAAGGAAGAGATGCAGCGTGGGGCTCCTCAAGGCTCAAGGGTGGGTCTATTTGTATGGAATGTATCTTACGATGATTTTCTGCGAATGGATCTGCCCGAAGGTGCGGTGATCATCGGCTTTGCGGACGACGCATTATTCGTGTGCACTGCCGAAAGTGAGGAGGCTCTTGGGACATTGGTGAACGAATGTCTGCGACTAGCTAAAAGCTGGCTGGATACCAGAGGTCTTGAAATGGCCCTGGAAAAGACCGAGGCACTGCTGGTCACAGACAGACGTGGTTATGAGCTCCCACGAATCGTGATAGACGGATTTGAGGTCAAGTGGAGTAAGCAAATTAAATATCTTGGTGTGGAGTTAGATGGAAGGTTAAACTTCCACCACCACATGGCTACGGCGTCAAATAAGGCGATCGAGTGTGCGGCTAATCTTTCACGGCTAATGCCAAATGTTGGCGGACCCCGTGAACAAAAAAGAAGACTGGTGGCGAGTGTCGCCCACGCTAAAATGCTCTATGCAGCACCAGCGTGGGCCCCATCCCTGAGGAGTAAAAGATGTGTGACCATCTGTGAAAAGATACTGTCTGCGCAGAGATCGATAACAACGCGTATCATCTCTGCATATAAGACGGTATCTACGAGTGCTGTGCAGGTCCTTGCAAGTGTCCCGCCAACAGATCTTTTGGCGAGGGAAAGGGAAGAAATGTTTCTCTTTTCTAAAGAAAGCAGTTCCTTGAATGAGGAATTAAGACCAATGTTGGCGACGAGAACACTATACCTTGTGAAAATCCATCAATGGAAGGGGACAAGGAAAAGGAGGAAGAAGGGGAAGCGAGGCTGGAGAAAAGTGTCGAAAAAGGCCTACAGGTCAGTGACCCTTGAAGTCGGGCTTGGACTGGAAGAGTCCTATATTCAAATTAAATATTGTTCCGAAAGTTTAATTTCTATTATTTGGTAAGCTGTGTTAAAAACAAATAATCTGTTGAAGACTGTGAGTGACTAAAATCAAATAAAATTTGAAGACTCATATCGAGTGACGCTATAATACTTGAAGATCCACTTGGTGGATGACTCTTCCTTTAGAATTGTAAAAGATCAAGTAAGTGGTAATATGTAAAACTGTAATAATATGTAAAACCGTAATAATATGTAAAACTGTATTACAAATTAATAACATTATTCAATACGTATTTCTATATATTTATAAATTTGTTAACTTCCTTTTCAATAAAATTCATTGTTGTTATAAATAAAAATATTCATTTAAATCACATGGTTTAATATTATTTTTCCCAAATGAGAAATTCATGAGAAGTTATATATATTAATTAATCAAAATAACAAATGGTGGAGGCGCCGGGTAACAGTTATAATTGTTATGTTTATGTTTCGAATCAAGCGAGTACAAACCAACAAAACACAACGATAACAGAGGATTATCTTATTTGACCGCTACGTTTGATATTACAATATTTCAGAAAATAGATATTGATAAAATTTAAATGCGTGTTATAAAAATAAAAATAAAATAGTCTTTGAAAATGTTTCAATAAAGATGGGAAATAATAATTGATATACTATCAAAATTAAAATCAAGCTATGCCCACGAGGAATGAATGTTTTTATTCATAACAGATAATTTGTTCTATTTCATTTAATTCGATCCTTTGAAATAAATAATTCATCTTAACGAAATACACCTTATTATTATGTGTTGGACATATATTTTAAAAATATTTAACATGCGTGTGTATATGTGTGTACATGTGCGTGTACATGTGAAACTTACTCCCGTTAATAATGTTATTTAATCAATGATTCATAAATGAAAATGAGAAATGAACATTAGATCATCAATTTAATTTATATTATGAATATGCATGACATTTGGCAAATTAGAAGGCAAATTAAATGTGCCCCAAATAGAAAGAAATTTAAATATAACCACCTGATGACGATTTAAAGATAAATAGAATATCGTAGATTTTATTTATATATATATATATATATATATATATATATATATATATTTATGTATATTATATTTCAAATGTTAAAATTTGATAAATATTTAGAAAATTAATATAAACAACGAAGCTTACACCCCTTTTTAGAAAAATCAATCACATGTATTTGTATATGTCCATATACGTACGTACACAACTGAACAATGTGTCTGTTTAACACTTTTAATGATTAACCTCGATTTTACGTTTTGTATAAATAAAATATAATTTAAAAAAAAAAAAAAAAAAAAAAAAATTTTTGAATTATCTTTCAAATAATAATCATATGTTCCGAAAATAAAATAATATTTGTACTTTAAACCTTATTATTCTTACTGAAAATTACATTTCTGAAATTACTATGTGTTTTAACTAATTTAATTTGATTGTTGTTGACATTCAACAACTGTTCATCAATTTTACTTATTAACGTCTAAATAATAATGTTATGATGATAAAAACAAAAATTAACCCTCTAATAGATTATGTCACAATCGTTGGAAAGGGGAAATGGACGCAGAGGGCGTGGGGGAGAACGCGACCCGAGAGATCTGAATACCGGAAGTTTGAATCGCGATGGAAGGGGTAGCGGGGGAAGCTCCACGGTTTTAATCACAAATAGAAATCAGTCCGTTAATGATGACACCAATAGGGAAAATCGACACGCTAATCACACAAGTAGGAGTAGGAGTATGAGTAGGAGTAGGAACCACTCATACAGAAACTCCTATCGAAATAGGAGACGTGATGTTTCTGTGAACGACAACTCGGACTACGAAACAAATTATCCAGATGAGGATTCGAATCGAATGTCTTTAACGTCTTCTAGAAAGGTGGAATTAGAAATTCGCGCCGCGCGTAAACGACATGAAATTCAACTTCGAATGATTCAAGAAAAAGCACGATTAGATATGGAACTAGTGAATCAAGAATTAGCCGCTGATTTAAAAGCAAATTCCGAAGAAAACGAAGATCTTCGCTCGGTGTTAACTCGTAAATCTTTGCTTCGTGGAGAAGGCGACATACGTGTTAACGAAAATGTTGAAAAATGGTTAGAAAATCAAACTCCCGTGAATTTCCCACCGTCTCAATCAGAAATGAATACAGATGTAACCCATCAATTATTACGAAGAGTCGCGGTAAATAGAATTCTGCCATCCTTTCACGGAGATGTCCTAGAATGGCCATGCTTCAAACGAGCATTCGAAGAAACTACAAAAAAGGGGGGATTTTCGGAAGAAGAAAATTTGATGCGTCTATATGAAAGTCTAAAAGGAGAAGCTCGGGAAGCTGTAGCGTCCCTTATGGTAACCACGCGAAATTCTAAACAAGTAATTGAACTTTTAGAATTGAGATTCGGAAACCCAAATGCTGTTGCTACACGTATAGTTGATGATATAAAGTCACTTCCAAAAATCTATAATAATAGTAATGGAGATATTGTAACATTCGCTACTCGAGTTAAGAATTCCGTAGCAGCATTAGAGGCTGCAAACCACATAGGATATTTACATAGCCACGATTTAGTTAGAGAAATTACACAAAAGATGCCATATGCTATGATATATAATTATAATCGTTACTTAAATGAAAAAGGAAAAGCACACGAACCAGTTCTTACAACTTTATCGAATTTTCTATTTTTTGAAGCAGAAATCGCATGTAGGGCCGGAACACTTAATTCTGCGTTCGGATCATCACACAAAAAACGTGATAAAGACGATCGGGGAACTAAAAGACCAGGCCCATCTCATGGAATTTATCACACCTCAGATCGCGAAATTGAAGGGGGATCGTCATCAAAAAGAAAGAAGAACGAGCATTGTATTTATTGCGATCAAGATTCACATACTGTTATAAATTGTGAACGTTATTTGAACCTTGCAATCTCAGATAGATGGGGATGGGCGAGAGCAAATAAATTATGTTTCAAATGTCTTGAATACTCCAATCATCAATGCAATAAATGTACGCAAAAACCTTGCGAAATAAACGGTTGCAGTCGAAACCACCATTCTACTTTACATCGTTCGCAATCGAAAGAACCTGGGAATTCTTCACCTAAGCCACAAAGAACAAATAGTCGTAAGCATCGACACACCAACGAAGAAGAACAAGAGTCTTGACTAGACAAAGATGACAACCACGAATGCGTTCTATTAAAATTACTTTCAATACGATTATACGGTCCAAAAAAGAGTATTATAGTCTATGCGTTTATGGATGAAGGATCGACAATGACAATAATAGATGCGAATATTGCTCGATCTGTTGGGGTTGAAGGATTATGCAGCCCGATAAATATATCTTGCATCAACAATATTCAAGATTCGAACCCAAATAGTCAAAAGGTTGATATAGGAATCGGTGCTTTAGATAGCTCTGTAGTATACAGGATATCAAACGTTAGAACTATTGAAAATTTAACACTCTTTTCACAAACTCTTAAAGAAGAAGATACGAGAAATATAAAACATCTATCTTATTTGCCAGTAGAGTATTATACAGATGCTCGACCATCAATACTTCTCGGTCAAGACAATTGGAACTTAATAACTAATATACAAACTCGGAGTAATACGATTGGACAACCCGCGGCATCATTGACTAAGTTAGGATGGGTAATTCACGGTAGATTATCATCTAGAAGAAAGAAGCAAATAAATCAAGAAGTTTTCCACATTCAAAATCCAAAAGAAGAATTCAATAATCATATATCTGACATAGATTTAAACCGACTAGTAAAATTTCATTTCACTTTCGAGAGTATAGGAGTAACTAACTTTAAACGGAAGAATAAATTAGAAGACAGAGCAGAACGAATACTTGAATCTACTGCAACTTATTTGGGTGATCGATGGGAAGTGGGTCTTCTATGGAAATATGATGATATAAGACTACCAAATAATCGAGAAAATGCCGCTACTCGTTTGAAATCATTAGAGCGAAAGATGGATAGAGATGCTGAATATGCTGAAAGGTATTGTGCACAAGTTGATCATCTAGTGACATCGGGATACGCCATTATATCCAAAGCTGAAAATGACGCAAAGATTCCTTCTTGGTATTTACCTCATTTTGGAGTTGTAAATTTAAAGAAATCTAAGAAAATTCGATTAGTTTTTGACTGCGCAGCAAAAACTCTAGGGATATGTTTAAATGATAACCTTTTAGTTGGTCCTGACTTAACAAATACTCTATTTGGTGTTTTGATTCGATTCAGACGAGGAAAGATTGCCATCAAAGGTGATATCCGAGAAATGTTTTTACAAGTGAAAATTAGAAAGGAAGATCAACATGTTCAAAAATTTCTCTGGCGTGGAATGGACCGTAGCAAAGAACCAGATACTTATATAATGACTTCAATGTTATTTGGAAGTGCATCATCTTCATATACTGCTCAATATATAATGAAAAGAAACGCAATTCAATACCAATCCGTGTGTCCAGTTGCCGTCAACGCTATCTTGGATAATCACTACGTCGACGATTATCTTGACAGTTTCGATACGTTACAAGATGCTGAAGAATGTATAAATGACGTGGCGAGTATTCAAAATGAAGCTGGGTTTGAAATTAGAAATTGGGTTAGTAACGAACAATTGTTGATCAAATATTTAAACAAGACCAAAGGCAATGAAGAAAACGTGGACCTATTAACGAATGAGGGAATAACAGAAAAAACTCTTGGTTTAGAATGGAACACTAAAAAAGATTTACTCACCTTTGGATTCGATTCAAAAAATATTCCAACGGAGATACTTGAAGGACAGAGAAAACCGACTAAACGAGAAATGTTACGCATCATTATGTCAATCTTCGACCCCTTGGGAATAATTCTTCCCTTCATCATACGAAGTAAAATATTGTTTCAAGATATATGGAGAAGTGGAATTAATTGGGATGAACAACTAAAGGATTCGGATTTTATTAATTGGAGAGGATGGATTATCAATTTGAATCAAATGGGAAACTATGAAATTCCTCGATCATTTACAAAGAATCATGGGCCCTCGATCAATACTGAACTCCACATATTCACAGATGCTAGTGACAAAGCATATTCCTCAGTAGCATATTTACGTACAGAACATACTTGCGGAAAAGGTAAAATCCATCTCATTTCCTTCATAGCAGGAAAAGCAAGAGTCGCTCCATTAAAACCAGTGTCGATTCCTAGAATGGAACTCCAAGGAGCATTACTGGGAAGTAGATTAGGAGATAGTATATTAAAGGAAATAAAAATGAGAATAAATAAAAGAATATTTTGGTCAGATTCTCGCACGGTATTAGCTTGGATTCACGCTGATCCAAGAAAATACCAGTCATTTGTGGCACATCGTTTAGGAGAAATTGACGAACTAACTAATCCCGAAGAATGGAGATGGATACCCACTAAAGAAAACCCAGCCGACTGCGCTACGAGAGATAAAACGAATATAATTACAATCATGAACAAATGGTTACACGGACCCAATTTCCTTTCTTTAGAAGAAAATGAATGGCCGAAACAATTAGAAAGAAATCACAATGCTGAACCAACGATTGAAATCAAAAAGGAATTTTTAGGAATGATAAAGAAAACAAATGAATTCGAGACTCCAAACATACTACGATTTAGTAAATGGTTACGATTGATTCGTGTGATGGGACTCATATTGAAAACAGCTCAGATTTGGCAACGAAAGAAAACAAGAGAATTAACCTATGAAGACTTAAAAAGTGGAGAGATTTATCTAATAAAAAAGGCTCAACAAGAATGTTTCCCCCAAGAAATACAAGCTCTAAAAAACAAACGACCTATACCTACAAACTCTCGATTAAAAAACCAAACCCTATTCATATCTGAACATGGAGTAATAAAGATACAAGGAAGGATAAATCTTGCCGAAGAAACTATAGAATCTAAAAAGAATCCTATAGTATTGGATGGGAAACATCATCTCACACATTTATTAATTCAACACTATCACGAACGATTTCAACATGGAAACACCGAAACAGTAGTAAACGAACTCAAACAAAGTTATTGGATTCTCAAAATACGTCCTACTACTAAATCAATCATCTCGAAATGTTCCATGTGTCGACTCCTCTGGAAAAAGGCGGAACAACCGAGAATGGGGGATCTACCAGCCGCAAGATTGGCGCATCATTGCCGCCCGTTTTCTTACTGCGGAATTGATTATTTCGGTCCTTTACTAGTAACTATTGGACGTAGACGAGAAAAACGTTGGGGAGCCTTGTTTACATGCCTGACAACAAGAGCTGTCCACCTCGAACTAACATCATCTCTATCAACAGATTCGGCTATTATGGCGCTGCAAAGAATGAGCAACCGCCGTGGAACCCCACTAGAAATCTTCTCCGATAACGGGACAAATTTCGTCGGAGCAAATACGGAATTAAAAAAAGCGATTAAGGAAATTGATTTAACAAAATTCAACGAGATGGTGACAAATATGGGAATACAATGGAAATTCATACCTCCTTTAACACCACATATGGGTGGAAGTTGGGAAAGATTGGTGAGGAGCGTGAAGAAATCTTTAGCAGTGATACTTAAGGAAAGGGCACCAAAGGAAGAAATTCTAAGAACAGTATTGACGGAAGCCGAACATACAGTCAATAGTAGACCATTAACGAAAGTATCAACTGATCCACATGATCCGGAAGCAATCACTCCTAATCATTGGCTTTTAGGATCATCTTCTGGAACAATACCTTGGGGAGAATTCAGATCGGAGGATCTCTGGTGCAAAAAACAGTGGAGAACAGCACAAAAATTGGCCGACATGTTTTGGGGAAGATGGTTGAAAGAATATCTCCCGGAGTTAATTGTGAGAAAGTGTTGGAATCATGATGTAAGAAATCTAGCTGTAGGAGACGTTGTATTAATCGTGGATTCAACAACACCTAGAAACAACTGGCCAAGAGGCAAAATAACAAAAACCTATCCAGGCAAAGACAATCGTGTGCGGGTTGTGGATGTTTTATGTCGAGGAAAAAATATGAAACGAGCTGCCAACAAAATCGTGGTGTTGGTCCCATCAGATTTGGGTACGGAGGGACTAACCCCCCGTACCGTTGGGGAGAATGTTGGCGACGAGAACACTATACCTTGTGAAAATCCATCAATGGAAGGGGACAAGGAAAAGGAGGAAGAAGGGGAAGCGAGGCTGGAGAAAAGTGTCGAAAAAGGCCTACAGGTCAGTGACCCTTGAAGTCGGGCTTGGACTGGAAGAGTCCTATATTCAAATTAAATATTGTTCCGAAAGTTTAATTTCTATTATTTGGTAAGCTGTGTTAAAAACAAATAATCTGTTGAAGACTGTGAGTGACTAAAATCAAATAAAATTTGAAGACTCATATCGAGTGACGCTATAATACTTGAAGATCCACTTGGTGGATGACTCTTCCTTTAGAATTGTAAAAGATCAAGTAAGTGGTAATATGTAAAACTGTAATAATATGTAAAACCGTAATAATATGTAAAACTGTATTACAAATTAATAACATTATTCAATACGTATTTCTATATATTTATAAATTTGTTAACTTCCTTTTCAATAAAATTCATTGTTGTTATAAATAAAAATATTCATTTAAATCACATGGTTTAATATTATTTTTCCCAAATGAGAAATTCATGAGAAGTTATATATATTAATTAATCAAAATAACAACCAAGCAAGGGCCTAATCCGCAAAGAAGCGAGGCACAGGCTCATAGAAAGATGGCAAGAAAGATGGGATGGTGAGGAAAAAGGTCGATGGACTTATCGCCTTATCCCGGCACTCGCCACCTGGATAAATAGGAAACACGGTCAGGTTTCCTATTACTTGACTCAGGCGTTCACAGGTCACGGGTGTTTTAACTCGTACCTGTGTCGCTTTAAATTACGCGAGAACGAGGTGTGTGCATATTGCCAGTTCCCTGAGGACAACGCGGAGCACACCCTCTTCTCATGCAAGAAATGGGACTTGGAGAGGCGGGCCATGTTCGAAGGTGTAAACAGTCAAGTTACACCGGAGAACATGGTATCGCTGATGACCCAGTCAGAGGAGAATTGGCGGCAAGTCGAGAACTTCATAATCTCGGTTATGTCGAGGAAGGATCTCGACGGCCGCCAAAAAGCGTAATTTAAACAGCTTTTAATTTATTCGTTTGTTTTTTATTAATTTATTTTGTGATTTATTTGTCCTTATACATTTTTTAATTGTTTGTGTTTTTTTTTATTATTCATCTTTGTACAGTTTTATGTTTTCAATTTTTTATACGCGTTTATTTTTTCTTTTTTTTATATATCCGTTTATAATTTTATCTTTTGACTTTTTACACTTAATTACACATTTGTTATTTTTAATTATTGTTGTGCTGTTAATTCCGCTTTATATTGAAATAGTTTTAAATTTTTAACTATTAACGCAGGATAACCGCAGAGAAAAGCAGAAAGTCACATTAGCGACAGAGTTGGAGCGCCACCCTCGAAGGCTAAAGTCTTACGACAGTTCCGAGGGAGGGTAAAGGGCTCCAGAAGAAGGGTTACGGGTTTTAGTGGGTCGGGCTGGCAGTAGGTCGCCAGTTTATTAAATTTACTATTTTATATATTTATTTTTCTTTTTTTTATCTCCTTTTGTTTTATCACACCAACCCCACATAACCTTGGAGTGCGGAATCCAAGGTATCTGTAGGCAGATTTCCCAAAATTCCCTAAGCAAAAAAAAAAAAAAATAATAATAATAATAATAATAATAATAATAATAATAATAATAATAATAATTTCGAAGAGCCCAAAAGTAATGAAATTATATTTAAAATTGCACTGGAATGTCGTAAAAGTTTGACCTATAAATCATGGAAAAGGTATGGAATTTTAATTTCGGATTTCTGTAGGAATCTTGTTATTTATTTACAATAAAAGTTTAAGTATTACTTACATATAGAATCTATTTCTTATTTAAAGTAGAGAGTAATGCAATTTAATATTCACTATATAAAGAAATAACAAAATAATAACAATACACAATATTTTATTTAATTTGAAAATAATTTTAATTTATGCACATTAATTAATTCATTCATTCATTCATTCATTCAATCATTCATTATAAATAGATAAAAGAAACTTGAACTCTTCATTTAGAAGCGAAATATTTAGACAAATAAGAAATATTCACTACTTTTTTTTAACGATCATCTTACTGACTTCTAAATAAATCAATATTACATTAAATATACATAATAAATTCACAATTACACAATAATAAGAATAACAATATTAATAATTATACTAAAAATAGATTAATATTTATAAAAATTTGTAAAACACATATTCATATTACTAGAGCCATCTATGATTGTAATAGATAACCACAATTTAATTTAATTACCTTATAATAAAAACTATAATATAAATTAAAATAATCATAATAATAGTGATACTTATATAACAAAAAAATAAACATTTACTGACAAGTAATTAGTAAACAAACAAAAAAATTTTACTCAATAAAAAAAATTGTCACTTACCATAACGATTTCAAATCTCGCGCACTTTCAAAATTCCCTAGGAAGAACATATTACATAGATAGTAAACTCAGATGTTAAATTCTCTTCGATAAAATGAACATTCGAAGTTTTAAAAATTCGATCAAATTAACATTCGAAGTTTTAAAAATTCTATCAAATTAACATTCGAAGTTTTGAAAATTTGATCTAATGAGCATTCGAAGTTTTGAAAATTCGAACAAATGAACATTCGAAGATTTTAAAATTCGATGAAATGAGCATTCGAAGTTTTGAAAATTCGATCTAATGAGCATTCGACGTTTTGAAAATTCGATCAAATGAACATTCGAAGATTTGAAAATTCGATCAAATGAACATTCGAAGATTTGAAAATTTGATGAAATGAGCTTTCGACGTTTTAAAAATTCGATCAAATTAACATTCGAAGTTTTAAAAATTCGATCAAATTAACATTCGACGTTTTGAATATTCGACGAAATACGCATTCGATGTTTTGAAAATTCGATCTAATGAGCATTCGAAGTTTTGAAAATTCGATGACATGAACATTCGACTTTTTAAAAATTCGATCTAATTAACATTCGATGTTTTAAAAATTCGATGAAATAAGCATTCGAAGTTTTGGAAATTCGATGAAATGAGCATTCGAAGTTCTGGAAATTCGATGAAATGAGCATTCGACGTTTTGAAAATTCTATGAAATAAGCATTCGGAGTTTTGAAAATTCGATGTAATAAGCATTCGAAGTTTTGAAAATTCTATCAAATTAACATTCGAAGTTTTGAAAATTCGATCTAATGAGCATTCGACGTTTTGAAAATTCGATGAAATGAGCATTCGAAGTTTTGAAAATTCGATGAAATGAGCATTCGATGTTTTAAAAATTCGATGAAATGAGCATTCGAAGTTTTGGAAATTCGATGAAATGAGCATTCGAAGTTTTGGAAATTCGACGAAATGAGCATTCGACGTTTTGAAAATTCGATAAAATAAGCATTCGAAGTTTTGAAAATTCGATCTAATGAGCATTCGATGTTTTAAAAATTTGATGAACTGAGCATTCGACGTTTTGAAAATTCCATCAAATTAACATTCGACGTTTTAAAAATTCGATCAAATTAACATTCGAAGTTTTAAAAATTCTATCAAATTAACATTCGAAGTTTTGAAAATTCGATCTAATGAGCATTCGAAGTTTTGAAAATTCGAACAAATGAACATTCGAAGATTTGAAAATTCAATGAAATGAGCATTCGAAGTTTTGAAAATTCGATCTAATGAGCATTCGACGTTTTGAAAATTCGATCAAATGAACATTCGAAGATTTGAAAATTCGATCAAATGAGCATTCGAAGTTTTGAAAATTCGATGACATGAACATTCGACTTTTTAAAAATTCGATCTAATTAACATTCGATGTTTTAAAAATTCGATGAAATAAGCATTCGAAGTTTTGGAAATTCGATGAAATGAGCATTCGAAGTTCTGGAAATTCGATGGAATGAGCATTCGACGTTCTGAAAATTCTATGAAATAAGCATTCGGAGTTTTGAAAATTCGATGTAATAAGCATTCGAAGTTTTGAAAATTCTATCAAATTAACATTCGAAGTTTTGAAAATTCGATCTAATGAGCATTCGACGTTTTGAAAATTCGATGAAATGAGCATTCGAAGTTTTGAAAATTCGATGAAATGAGCATTCGATGTTTTAAAAATTCGATGTAATGAGCATTCGACGTTTTGAAATTTTGATCAAATTATAATTCGATGTTTTAAAAATTCGATGTATTGAGCATTCGAAGTTTTTAAAATTCGATGTAATAAGCATTCGATGTTTTAAAAATTCGATGAAATGAGCATTCGAAGTTTTGGAAATTCGATGAAATGAGCATTCGAAGTTTTGGAAATTCGACGAAATGAGCATTCGACGTTTTGAAAATTCGATAAAATAAGCATTCGAAGTTTTGAAAATTCGATCTAATGAGCATTCGATGTTTTAAAAATTCGATGAACTGAGCATTCGACGTTTTGAAAATTCCATCAAATTAACATTCGACGTTTTAAAAATTCGATCAAATTAACATTCGATGATTTAAAAATTCGATGAAATGAGCATTCGACGTTTTGAAAATTCGATGAAATAAGCATTCGAAGTTTTGAAAATTCGATCTAATGAGCATTCGACGTTTTAAAAATTCGATGTAATAAGCATTCGGAGTTTTGAAAATTCGATGTAATAAGCATTCGAAGTTTTGAAAATTCGATCAAATCAACATTCGAAGTTTTGAAAATTCGATGAAATGAGCATTCGATGTTTTAAAAATTCGATGAACTGAGCATTCGACGTTTTGAAAATTCGATCAAATTAACATTCGATGATTAAAAAATTCGATGTAATGAGCATTCGAAATTTTGAAAATTCGATGAAATGAGCATTCGAAGTTTTGAAAAATCGATAAAATTAACATTCGACGTTTTGAAAATTCGATGTAATAAGCATTCAGAGTTTTGAAAATTCGATAAAATGATCATTCGATGTTTTGAAAATTCGATGAAATGAGCATTCGAAGTTTTGAAAATTCGATCAATTTAACATTCGAAGTTTTAAAAATTCGATCTAATGAACATTCGAAGTTTTGAAAATTCGATGAAATGAGCATTCGACGTTTTGAAAATTCGATCAAATGAAC